CCCCTCCTATACTGATTTGCATGTGATCTTAAGGAAAGGGAGGACCAGAAACACCAGGGCTTAGCTTACAGATGGAAACGAGAATCATAAATCTTGTCAGTTACGACTTTTAAGAATGTGGTTTTCTCTGATTTTCCAGAGAAACAGGAGTTTATTTTAATAGCCAGTTTGAAGCCTCACAAAGACCTCATCCAGTTCATCTCAGCTGGCACGGCTTGATCAGGGAAAAGATTGTTCATTCTTTTAGTACATAAAAGGAAATAAAGACTTTTAAATCCCGATGTTGAAGTGTAAGATATGTATCTGCACTGACATTGGCAGGTGAAAACAAAACTACTGACTGAGAAAAAACCCTGGTGTGTTTGTGTTTTGCTTTATGAGGACTTCACCACCTTTTAAAACCACCAATCAAAACGAGTTTATAGCACACATGTTGGAAGCACCATGTGTGAATTCTACCAGCAGTGCAGCTGCCAATGTGTTCTAGAAAAAAAGGCCACAAAGATGAATTCCCTCACATTGGCTGTACTGAAGGATTATGGTTTTAGAGAGCTTTGATGCTCTTTCTAGAGTACATTTTAACCGGCTTCGTGTCTATGCAAGAACACAGTCATATACGTGCAGGTATGTGAGGTGGTGTGGGTCTCTTTATCTCGTTGGAATTAGACCCTTAGCTCCCGTTCTTATCAATTTGTCCTGTTTGCTCAGACCTTGCAATCTTCCGCCTGTCAAATGTGGGTTAAAAAAAAAAGAGGATTAACCCATTAGCTCTCATGGTTTCTACTTCAGTCAGCCAAGTCTTAAAGTATCTGTCCCAGTGACTCCCCCCTGCCCCCACATGGGTCCCCTGTCATCTAGCAGCAGGCCGGCCTGCCTTTAGCCAATTAAGGTGTTAAATGAGGGTCTTATAGTGAGCTGTATTTTGCATTATATAAAGCTTTTTATTGCAAAGTTTGATCATTTATGTGTCTCCTGAGAGTAAATACCCTCTGTTGGATTCAGATAATTTATTTCAGAAAGCTTTCAATAAGTTCTGGCAGTGAAATTGTGGCGGCAGCTGGTAGCTACTCAGATATGGTAATTGTTACCAAGTGATGGAGCAAAACCATGAAGTAGGTTGTTGTAATTTTGTTTCCAAAGCATTTTGACTGGCAATGAAAGGACCCGGTATACAGTGGTGATTCCCCACCCTGGCTACACTATAAAAGAGACCCTGTAGGGGTTTTTAAGGGGATTCATCCCTGGACCACTTAGACTGCTTGGTTTTGCGCTGAGCTATGGTTTAGATATTAAATGCCTTATCACTCTAGCCAAGGGATGGTTATTCATAATGTGTGCCAATGAGATACCAAAGGCAGCCTCCAGCCATTTTGCAGAGCAGAGTTGCACCACAAAAAGAGTTAGCATGGCTCTATCAACTTTAATGTTTAGAAGTAATAAGAATTGGTGACAACATTTGGGATATATGTGCTGTCACGCAACACCAGGTGATTTTACCAGGAGACTGAGTAGCGGAAAGAATAAATGCCTGGGTGCTTAGAAGTGTATTGCCTGCGTTCACCTGTTGCTCGTGTGTATTGAGCAAAAGAATCACATGAGGAGGTGAGAGGTGAGATCAGCTGTGTTTGGTTGGAATTAAACCTGTAGTCTTGTGGGTAACATGTAACTTATCATTACATGACCATCATCGCTGTCAAATTTAAAACGTTTTATAAGAACCAAACCTGCAACCTCATTTGGGGAATCAGGGTATGTGAAATGGAACAAGTTGACTTGCACCATCTAGCATGTAGGAAATCGAGATGCTTGTGATGAACGGTGGCATGAAACAAAGCGACCACTTCTGCTTCCCTCTGCACAGGAAGAATCAACAGACCAGCTTTGTTGTAATCACTTCTGTCTTTGAAATTACATATATGACACACACAGGGAGAGAGACGTATCAGAGGTCGTTTTATTTATTTATTTTCCCAAACATAGAACACAAACAGAACATTTGTGCTTATTTGTTCACGTACAAACATTGCATGTGTGGGCTGATACTCCAGACAAGTAATTCTCATTCCACTTTTAAACTGTGTTTTTGTTCTGTAGTTACAGAGATGTGTTGTCTTAGTCAAACCAGATCCAGTTAGGTAAGATGTTTTAAGCCTGCTTATACTGGTCCTCCATCTGACAACTGCAACTGCCTCTATCGCCCTTAAAGAATGTAATGAATCAATATTGAATATCTGTCGGCTGCCTCGCTGCATCTGCTCCGTCAGTTGTCACTTCCTTCACCCTCTGAAGAAACACAAGTTTCACAGCTCTTATTTCCTTGCGCAACATTTCTCTAACATACAGACATAGCATAGGATGACTGAAATATGTTTTCCTGTTGCTTGATAGGGTTGGGTAGATGTAGCATTTTGTCGGTGTGTTGAATTTTATTAAACACCTTTAAGACTCTGCAGTAGTGGCAGAACTTTGTGCTTTTGAAGTACATTTTGTGGCTCGGTCATCTGACCAGTGGAGCTAAAGTGAGTAGCTGCAAGGTGTCAACTATATGCTGGTTGCTGCTGATAGGGTGTTTATTCGGGACTGAGGGCATTTGTCTTTTTGATTTTCCTCAAACTTGCTGTTGTGGCATGTACAGTTCCTTACACATTTGGAGATTCCTGATGTTGTGTAAAAATGACCTGATCTCCCAGATGAGTCAGACCCATGTACACAAACTGTTGTTAGTTTCAATTTGTTTTGCTGACTGATTGAGAAACACATGTCTTGGCTGAAGTGCCTGCTTCCAGAGTAACAGTGATAACCAGGATGTTTTTGGGTGTTGTCTCTCTTCTCATCGTATATTCATGACTGTAATGTATGTAAACATGAGATGTGAGATAATCTTCGCTTCAACTTAATTTCACCTGCGAGCCATGGACCATATGTACATATACTGTTTCTCTTTCTCTTGTGTTCAGAACGTGCCTACACTGTAATTACATTGCTAGAGCCATGAAATGCTAGAATGATTTTCACTGTAATGCCACATGAGAAAAACAGCCCTGTTTTAGAAACAATGATCCCTTCTGGTTATATCCCCATTGCAGTGTGATGATGAGGTGTTTTGTGGGCAAGGATTGCTGTGCTGGCCACATTTTAGACAGGTTAGTATGCATTAATGTATGTAGTAGCCTAGTCCCAGAGTTTCCCCGTGTGGTGTGGTCTTCATTTTGCCTTGAACAGCTGCTGAGACTCTGACGTTAATAAACATGTGGGTGAAACACTTTGGGGTGTTTTGTATGGAGGTGGTTAAGTTATAATAAAGGCAAATATCATCTATCAGTGCAGTAGTTAAAAGACAAAACGGTCCGATCATAGATGAGACAAAAAATTTTCTCTAAAGATTCTGTTAAATTGTCACATATGAAAGACATTTGATGTGGGAACAAAGACAGGACTTCTTGTGCAGTTTTCTGACAGTATATTTTTACAGTATATGACTAGGTGTTTCTGAATATTGGTGCAAAGTATTGTCTTTCAGCAACTTAAAACCAAAATATCAGCACAGGTCGGTTGAGTTGCTTGTCATACTGATACTAATTAAACTGTAACTCAGGGCCACCATTCATGCTTTCATCCAGAGTGTACTTGGTGTAAAAGTGCCAAGCAAAACCTGATGTTTCTGAATGTACAAGATCAGGGCAGGTGGTGGTTACAGAGGTCTGTCACGTATTAGTCAGCGTAGCTGAATGAGTGGTGGTGTAGTCACCGCTGCCTCCTGTCATGACTGATAGTTCAGCATGTCCAGCACCTGCACTCAAAATTCATTTCCCCATGTGCTGTTGACTTGTGCAGCTCTTATCTCTGCCTGACTGATCTGAGCCACAGCCTCCCCAAAAACCCAGACTTCTTAACATTTTGAACTTGTTCTGAGTAAACGGAGAGTGGGCGGGATAGACAGTTTCTCTCCGTCTAGTGTAGCTCTGCGGTATAGGTAGGATCACTGCTGTGTTAGAACAGTTGACGATGGGGAACAGACATTATCGATACCAGAATGTTGAAGCTCATTGCTTATAACAGAGAGTGCTTTGCATACCTGAGCACTTTTGGGAACAGGTATGTAGGAGAAACATTACCGCCCACAGAAGTTGCAGAAAAAACTCCCCAGTATCCCCACTGTCTCTTACTTGCAATAAAACATTTTAATGAGGGGAAAAACATGCCAGTCATACCTGATCAAAGTCCCACCTCTGAATATTAAGCGTGTATGTGTTGAAACAAACTTGAAACAGAGATGTCTGAAAATGGCTGAAATTCATCTTGGCTCGGAGCCAACCAGGTGAAGAAAGTGACGGTTCTTCCTGTGATTTCACTTCCTCTTCTTTTGTTGAGGTTGAAACATTCTGTCCTATGAGAGCAGCCTGTCTGGTATGTTTGTGTGAGTAATCCTGCACATGTTGCACAATGGACATGGACTGAGGGACCTCATATTTATGCTTCAAATGGATTTCAGACTGAAATTGGTATTTTTGTGTGTGGAAAAAGTGCATTTGCTTGTCTTAACTTGTGATTTGAGTTGACAGACGGGCAACTCGGTAGTCATTGCTGTAGTCATTGTTTCTACTTTTCTGCAACTCACAGGCACTTGAAAGTCATGAATCTAAAATTGATTAATCATGTTCCTGAAATAATATGTTGGACTTTTTCTTGCAGCATCATCCATTAGGCCTGTTTATCTCTTCAATGCAATGCAATACCAACAACAATGACTGTGGTTATTGATTTACCAGAACAGTATATAATCAGAGGAGAGGGTGTTAAAGATGTCCACTTTAGTGAAAGTTCAGTGAATGGAAAGTTAAGTTTTAAAAATAGAGGCATATTTGACTGATCTGATGCTTTGGGGAAAGTTGTTTTAGTGCTGCCACAACAAAAAGCTTTTGCCCTTCAACTGTTAGTAAGTTACTTATGTTAACAGACAGTGGGGAAGTAGCAGTCTGACACCTTTTTCTCTCCCTCAGGTCTTTGTAGCCTGCCAGCGTACTCTTGTAGTACTACCCTCGCATCCGCCTTATCGAACCCTTTGCCACTGAGTTCCACTGCCGGCTTTGGTTTTCCCCCAACTGCAGGAAAAACCATTGAGACAAGAGAAAGGCCTCTGTCTCCAGAACTGCAGCTGACCTCTGACTGCATGTCTCAGAGCTCTGACCGACCCCCCTCCTCTTCCTCCTTCCACTTCACCTCAAGGACCCACATTTTCACAAAACCATAACCTCCGAACCTCCAGCCAGCTGCTAGCTGCTTCACCACAGGCACGGTTGGCAATTGCTCTCCTTGAGCAGAAGCACTGACAATCGCCCCCCGACCGGCCCCCGATTGGTGCTTCTTCAGTGGGGGAGGGAGGGGAAGGAAGGCAGCTTAACACCGTGCCGCTTTCCCCGGAGATGAAGCTGCAGGCTGTCATGGAGAACCTGCACAGGCAGCAGAGGGCCAAGCTACTGATGGAGCAGCAACTACAGCAGCAAGCCGCCACCCAACACACTCAGATCCGCGCAGGTGGAGGAGGAGGCGATGAGCCGATGGGGAGCCCGGCCCCTGAGGCGGAGCAGGCCCAGATGGCAGCACTAGCAGCCATGCGTGCAGTGGCTGCCGGGCTGCAGAGGGTGTCCGACAGTCCAATGTCAGAGCGCAGCAGCGGCGGCGAGGATGACGGTGACGAAGGTGACGACGATGAAGGAGAGGAGCATTACAAGGACATGATGGGGTCAGATGAGGAGGAGCAGATGTAAGTACTGACTTACATCTTATCTTTGGTTAAGTTGCCCTAAAATATATAATCTGCACCAGTGGTGGTTTTCATTGGTGCACGTCTTTTAAACCATATTCTGTTTGTAACACACACAGCAAACGGAAATGGGATGAGGAAGACTTTGAAGGCGAGATGGAAGAAGACTTTGACGATGACCTGGCAGAGGAGGGTCTGCCGACGGGCCATGGTGCAGTGGCTCCTGGGAAGGGCATCCTCCTGCTGCCCCACCGTCAACTCCACCCCCACTCCCATCTGAAGGCCCGTCCCAGTGTAGACCAGGAGCCCCGTGTAGCCATTCTGCCTCCCCACGCCACACACAGCCATCTGGGCGGGCAGGACCATGGAGATTGGACCTACGAGGAGCAGTTCAGACAGGTAGGATGTCTTCGTATATCTTCATATAGGAAGTGTGTTAGTCTTTTGCAAGTCCCCCAACAAGATGGGTGACACTGAGATATAAGTAAACGTTGCTACTAGAGATTCAGTCATGTCAAAGTCTGTAGCTCTGACTCTTGCAGTCTGGTTTATTATATTAGAAGCTGGACATCATTGCCCTCATGTTGTCATTGTGGAGAACCAATTCAGCTAAATCCCTAAAATATCCTAAAACCAGCTGCTGTAACAATCTGAGGTAGTAATGTACATACATCTGAAATGTTGGTTGTTGACCAGTGAGCCACACCTGGCCTTCGTACCTCTCACATTGTGTCACTTTCTCAGCTGCACATGAAGTAATCCGACCAGGGTGGGAAATTAACACTAGCCACAATCCAAATGTTGATAAACCATAGACTGAGGCTTTTAAGTTTGTCTTTGCCACCTGACGTTCTGTCAGGGGACATCTGTGGAAGGCTCTGGTCCTAAACAGTAAGTTTTTCTGGTGGAACATCTTAGTGCTCGCTGAGATTTATCATTTGCTAACTAATGTGGCCTAAGAGTTAAAAAAAGGTAGTTTCCTGACATGAGCTGAGGAAAAGAAGCGGAGGGCAGTTGGAGGGGGAGGGTGCATTTTAACAGCTTTACCATGCTGGCGTTTACTGTGAACATGCTGGTGGGCTGCATATTATGAGGGAGGCCCGATGGAATAAGACAGGCTGTTTACGTGAAGAGATTTAAGTCTGTCAACAGCTAAATTTAGATGGAGGGCTGCTGTCGGGAGACTGGGAACGATGTTAAATCCACTCACTGTTCAATTTTGATTATATAAAACGGAACCACTAATCATTAACACCTAAAGCTAATGACACTTCTACTACACAAAGTTATGCCATCTCTTAGTGTACATGGACAATTCTACAAATTAGATTTGAAATTAGTTGAAAATGAAATGAAAAGAAAATGAGGGGATATTGATTCATTACATAAACCATTTTCTAAAAATATATAAGATACAAGCCTTTGAGAAGAAGAGTGACCTTTTCTGACAAAATTATTTGTCATGAAAAAACAAAATAATTGATTTTTGGTAAAAATGAGTAGCCTCCTTGTGCCCTTCACTTTCAGAAAAAGTTTAGAGAGTAATTTTTTGTCTGTGTCGAAGGTAAGGCAGAAACATTAAGCATCATTTTAATACCCTTAACTGAATGTATTTATCAATGAAACGTGCCTCCGCTTTTGTCTGTGAAGATTCTCAGTCATCCATGTCATAGTTATCCTTGAAGTATCTTCAACCAAGTCCAGTTGCCCTTGACTTAACCTTCGTTGGTGCCTCTGCTTTTGTGTTCAAACTGAAAACTAAGGCTAATTTATTGGGACCAAAGTGTGGCATCTGCTGAGCCACCATTTTATGCAAATGCAGCCTCTAACATGGCATAATGTTAGCCACTATTGAAAAGTAAACACTGCCATGGCCTGGAGGTAAATTAAGTTCATTGCATTTCACCCAGCCTACATGTGCTTCACCCTAACCATAGATTCTGTAATTTAAGGCCCATTTCTTGTAATTACAGAGCGAATGGAATATAACTCCCCTAAAACCTATACTCGGCTTCTCTAAATAGTCCACCCCTCCCTCCGTAAAGCTTTGTGCAAATTACTTGAATTGATACTCTCAACAGTTGGTGGTTTTCATACGTCAGGTAGGACACACAGTGCATTTTTATCACGACATGTCAGTCAGTCACAGACAGTTACATAATCAAGACAGCCAGTATCTTGGCTGTTAAGATAGTGTTACCCAATCCATTGTTGATTAAAACGTATGTCACGCCTATACAACGTCAAACTCAGAGGGGAAGACCAAACCGCATTTAAAAGCTTCTGCATTATAACATGATTTCGGGGAATAAAGCAACAACTGTCTGTGAGATTATAACATTCAGGTTTTAAGTCTTGCACATTGTTCACACGACACATTTTGGCCATGGATGATTATGGTAATTAGTAATAATTGCAGCTTTGGCATGTGATTATAATCCTCTGTGAATGTGCTGTGTCAGCAGTGTGTAAAGCAAAAATGACCGACCTGTTTTTGTGAAGACAGTTTGCTCCTGATAATTCTAACCTCATGCAAATCCAACTCAGTGATTTCAACCTTAATTTATATGTGGTGGGTGCCATTTTTCTTCCGGTTCTTCTTTTGTTTCTGAAACTGGCATTTGTGGTTTCTTCTCATCATGTGAAAAATAGACAGTAGTTAAATCTACCGACCACGTTTTTTTAATGCATTTTCAGTGCAAACTTGCACATTATCTTTGTTTGATCAGGAGGTTAAAATGAAAGTTGAAAGTTTATTCTGTTATCTGTAATACTGGTGCTCTGAGAACATTTGACTACTCACTGCACAGTCATACAAGCTGAAGCAAAATATCATAACTTACTAGGGCTGCACGCAACATATAACACCATAGATTTGTGCAGCTGCCTGAAACATCACCAAAAAATAGGCTAGAAAAACTTCCCCTGAAAACCCCTGTCACCTAACCACACAAACATCCATAAGTGGGCTTTATAGAGTTCATTGTGGTACACAACAAAATGTCATAGACCCACTTCAGAGGCTGTGACTTAATTTTGCCAAAGACATGGCTCTTTGGCTAAACAAGGGAAAAAACGGAATTGTTACACTAGACAAATCCTACTCAATGAAGGAAGCAGTGTGCCCTTAACCAGTAATGATCATATTGTTTTGTCTACATGAGGACAATATGGAATAAGTATTTTCTTTCACTTCAAAAGATTATGCCTCTAAGAATCATGGGAGAATGTCATTATCTCAAGTATGTGTAACAAATAATTGTCATTCTCATTTTGACTGGCATAGTGAAACCCTTTTAACTTACACTTCCATGTGTTCTGTGTGTGCAGGTTGAGTGATTTGGAGGGCACTGGGTAGGGAGGAAGGGGTTAAGGTTGTACAGTTTATTTTGGGCAGGTGGGTGGAGGCTGTTGGAATGTGCCTGAGGGAGGGTGATAATGTGGCCACTAGGAACCCCAGATCCTCTGCAGAAATCTTGCATGCCTTTATCAGTTCGCAGCAGTTGGAGCTCTTCCAAACTGAGAACTGTCCTTTTCTTTCTTATGTTGAAGTCACGTCATTTGTATAGCTCAGTATTGTATATAATGTCTCTATGGGCTTCACAGCAGCAATAATTCCTGACCCAGTCCAGGGTAACACTCTCCATAAAAAACTCAGGAAAACATTGGAGAACCCTTCAGAGAGGAAATTTAAAAGAGGGGGGTCCCCTCTCCTCGCATGACAGGGGAATTCAATAGGTATTGTGGGTGGAAAAATGGAAATTAGAGAAATAGTTGGATTTTAATCTAACAGGATTAACACATGTTAAATTGGTCTAGTGAAATAAGTCCATTAAAATAGGTTTGATTAAAGTCCTTCAGTAAGTTCATCAGGTTGTTAACACTTATCTAGGTCCAATGTGCCATGTGGGTGAGAAAAGTACGCACAGACCCCATTTTTAGGTGAGGTTTGCCCCAGGCTGTCTGGCTACAATATATAAGCACAACCTGCATTCCTGGTGGATCATCCGGCCACCTTCCTCTATCCGCGATCTCAGCTGAAAGGTCAGACTAAATCTAGCTAGGAGGCGCAGTCTGTTCGCATGTCTGATTACACTGTGTTTTTAAGTGAATTAATCCAAATATTAATTTGACTTTGCCAGTGTGTCAGAACTGTCTGTGTCAGAGTGCGGTGTAATAAAATAAAGGACATGGATTTTTCCAGATATCAAATTATGCCAGCATCATTGGATTATTTTGTAATTGAAACTGATTTGCTTTGCTGGTGGAGTGCCATTTCATCTCAGTTATTTCAGTGATACCAGCCTCCACACCTTGAGCCCCCCCCCCGTACATCTTCTCTCTTTAAATATCCATATCAATATCACCAGTTGCATTGCATTCTGTATTTTTATTTCCAGGAAACATTCCTCCTTTTAAAGTTAATGTCAAGTGCTATCCGACGACCAATAGCATTGCATCCATCTGTTCCAATCAGCCACCAGTGAAATGCTGAAGAGGTTTGGCTACCTTTATTGAGTTACCCAGCTAAGTTTTGATTTTTTTATTTAAAAAAAATACTTTCCTAGTTTTCACGTGATATGTGATATGACAGAGGGCTCTTTTTTACAGCTATGTAGTTTTTGTGATCAGCTGGAAAATAAACATTGAGATCCTGACCAGAAGGTTGATTGATGTGATTGATATAGTGTTTCCAACCAATAACAGAGTGATCACAATTGCAGTTGCAGGGCAATACTGCTAAAAGTTTTTTTTTAAATATAATTCTAACACTATTGAAGGGTCAGTTCACCCAAAAAAAAAATAACATATTTTCTACAAGTGATATGTAGCTATATACCCAGTGAGGTAGATTATCCAGAGTAATTGTGATATTATTTTGGGAAAGTTGTTGAGTTTTTAAATGTAATTTTTAATGCTTTGAACACTAAATAAAACCCATTTAATTCCATTGTATTGGGGCAGCAGAAAAGAGACAGCTGTCCAAAAACCTCTCAAAACTATATTTACACTGTACTACATAATCTACATTGCTAGATAGATAGCCTTTAAGCCGAAGAAATACCAGTATGCACGTATTTTTTATAATTTGTACAAAATGACTATTTTCTTCAGCATCATAAGAAAAACAAATCCCACCATTGTTACCTAAGCTACGTTAGCTATGTTAGCTACATAAGCTATGTTTGCTAGTCAGTCTAACCTTCAGCCGTTCAACAGTTTAACTTGTTGGCTAGCCGCTGCTCTCCCAACGTTATGAATGTGAGAGATGGAGGAATTAGAAAATGTACTTAATTTTGTAATTAATGGGCCTTCCGTCTTCCTTTTGTTAGCTTATCTGTTCTTCAGAAACACTTTGCTCCAGAACAGCTCTTCATCCACAATATATTTGTGGATAT